GTCTGTCTGTCTGTAGGTAGGTCTGTCTGTAGGTAGGTCTGTCTGTCTGCCCATATCCAGAAAATATCCTTCATGCAAAAAATAAATAAAAAGTGTTGTAAGCTGTCAGCATTTTGTTGTTATTGATGATTGATCGTTTTGGATGTGTGTGTTTTGCACGTGTTAAAATCATACTTTTCAGATTCCAACAGGAGGTTAGCTTGAGGCACAGCAGCGAAGGCTACTTATGGGACAGATCTTGTTAGCAGGCCGTAGACTGATGTAGTCCTCTGGATGGAAGACGAAACGTCTGTCTGTCTGTAGTTAGGTCTTACCTACTTACCTACAAAAAAAGAAACTCCAGATGACACAATTGAACCTTTTTTGTTGTTATCTTTCATGATGTTGTTTTAGCTGCTCCCTACAAAAATACAATTACTACTACTTAGAAACAGTACTAAAATGTTTATGAAAATCAACTGGGATTGTAGTAAAATGAACACAATCTCATCTTTAGATGCTTTATAAAATATAGATTCCACAATCCCAAACAGTTTATAAGAAGAAAAACTTTTATTACTTCAGTAAATGTATTTTACATTAATATCCCATGTGTGATGGGGTTAAATGCAGAGAACTAATTTCACCATTGTATGGGAACATATGATGGTGACAACACATAGCATTTATTATAATTATTATAATTCTCTGTATCCCAATGAATTTATAGTACCAGTAGTACTTTAATGTGCTTCATCCAAAATATAGTTTCAGTTCAAGTTGAGATTTAAATAAATAAATAAATCTCTAATATTTATTTTGAATATAAACTTAATTAACTGAATCCTAAAAAAAAAAAATAATAATTCTCAAACGTTGTATAAAATAACTGAGTGTTACTGGTCATTATATGGCAGAAAATCCAATAAGTAAAACAAAACAGAATAAAAAATAATTAAAAATGTGACAATAAACACAACGATTTGACAGTAAAAAAAAAAACTGAATAAATTATGAGCAAAATATTTACTAGAGAGAAAATAAAAATGAAAAGCAGAAGAGACAAAACTCTGGTGAGAAACAGGAAGAAAACTCACATAATTAGCAGGAAGAGCTGGTTTTTCAAAGTAAAACAGAAAAACTAATTTTAAAACTGTTGTTGAACTGAAACAAAAAAAAAAAACTGGATTAGAAGCATAAAACACACAAAAATATAAAAGAGGACTAAAGTCACAGATCATGAGACTGAACTCCAACCCTGGGAGGCAACACATCAAATGTTTGAGTGTGATGACAGAATCTTTAAATAACATCTTTAAAATCAACGTCATCATCACATCATGTTTAAATCAGGGATTATTCACTTACAATGAAAAAGAAGTGCAAAAATATAATGTGAGAGTTATTCTCTTCTTATAAAACAACCATTCAACCTTTATTTTAACAGGTTAGTCCCACAGAGCCACGAGGACTCATTTACAAGAGAGAAGAAATCAAAAAGCTAAAGTTAATATTTATAATCTATTAAATCTCTGCGATGCACTTTACACTTGACGAGAAACCTTTAATCTGAAGCAAACATCACATGTTGCACCTTTAAGATGGTGAGGAGGACCAGCTCAAGCGCAGCTGGTCATCATTGCGCACGGATCACGTCGAAAACTGATTTGATCCTTTTGATATATGCGCATCTATGAGTTGTGATGGGTGCAGTTCGAGCTGCTGAACACTGGCAGGGAGAGCCCAGCAGAGCAGGATGTTGCTTCTTTAAGAGTTAAGAAACTTGAAACCGTGTTTGCGCAACAATCAGTGCAGCTCCCAGCCGCCTTGGTGTCTAGACTGGCACATGATGGCGGGAATCAACCAATGGCTCCAGAGCTTTCCTCTGGGACACACGCACACACACACACACACGCACACACACACATACACACGCACACACACACACACACACACACACACACACACAGAGAGAGAGAGAGAGTCAAAGCCGGAGAATTCGGGGACTGCGGTTTCAAAATAAAATTCTGCCTTTTTATTTTTTCTCAAAATGTTATTTTACACAAGTTTGATGACTTAATTAGAAAAGCAAACTGAACTTTGCAAAAAGGAATACCCATCAGAACAAACTTTTATTTTGTAAAAGGTGAGGTCAGCAATAAACATTAGAGCTTCTAAATAAATTAATAAATAGATTTTTCATTCATTCAACCTTTATTTATACAAGTTAATCCCATTGAGTCTCGGGGACTCATTTACAAGAGAGACCTGAGTTTAACAGAGTGATGACAACAGTGGACAACAACGACAACAATAGACAATCACAAAGGATGCGTACAAATTGAGAATAACAAGTGAAAATAAAATGGCTTAAAAAAAAATAGACAAAAAACAGCTAGGTTGTAAGAGGTAGAAAAATAAAATCAAGTTTTTTTCCCAAACCACTTAGAGAGGTCAAACTAGATAGATAGATAGATAGATAGATAGATAGATAGATAGATAGATAG